GTATTACATTTAATACCTACATAAAAAGTTACTGAAGCTTCTTCTGACTAGGTATATTAGTTCCCCTTATGATAAAAGACAATTTTTTTCAAGAATCTTAAGATATAGGCAACCCACATAAGGCTGTCTGATAAAGGGGGGCTGGGGATAAGGGCTGGTGATGAGAAATGGGTAAGAACACAAACATTCATAAAATAAGGTTGAATGAACAATCTGAGGGATGGATACCATTAACTCCTTTCTGGAAAGGCTTCATACAGATGACATTTGTAAATACACAAAAGATGAGTCTGGAGGCATCACAAGGTATTTGATTTTGTTAATTCAGCTTACCTGTTCTTGCTGCAGTCTAATATGAGTGAGAGAATGAGAAGAGGGCAAAGGAGTACATTGTCTTGTGGTTCATCATTCAAAATGGGGAATCATTTCCAAATGATATGGTATACAGTGCACGAAATAGTATAAACAAATATTATATAATGTAAACTTTTAAAAATATATTTATTTGAGAGCTGAGAGACAAAGAGAAACTCCTATATGCTGAATTGCTCCCCAAATGCACAGAACCACAAGAGCTGGGCCAGAGCTGAAGTCGGGAACCTGGAATGCAATCCAAATCTCCCATATAGGTGGCAGGAACCCAATTACTTGAGTTATCACCTCCACCTCCTAGGGCCTGCATTAGCAGGAAACTGGATCAGGAGCCAGAGCACAGAATCAAATTTGGGTATTGACCAGCATCTTAACTGCCAGGCCAAATGCTTGCTCCAGTGCAAGGTTTTATAAATAGTGAATATAACTATTCAAATAAACTAACTAGACTATATGTTAATACTTTTAAAACTACAGTGAGGGCACAGCTAAGCTGAGATGATGTCACAAGTCAGTGTATCCTGGGCTGGGGTGTCCATTTGCTACACATATTGATTTTTTTTATCACATATTGCTTCTTGAGTGAGAAACTTCTATATGCCAGGCATTATAATAGAAACTGGAGACACAGTGAATTAGAGACTTAGGGGAATCCTTCCCAGAGCTTAGAATCTTGAGATGGGGTGAGGATATCTGAGATAAAAATAAGTAAATAGGGATTCCTATACAGTGTGCTAGGTACCTAATAGGAGATGTCAGGAATGACACGTGAGCATATAGTGGGGTATTTACTCCAGAAATGAAAATCAGGGAAAACAGGCTCAGGAAGTACTGATCTGAGAAGTTAGAAATCAGCTAGCTCCTCACGGCTGCTGACTGAAAATGGATAATTATAATATTTTTAACATATCAGACATTATTATTTTTGAAATGAGGAAAACCTTTTTAGGAAGCCACAACATCCTATCCTTTTCAGAGATTGCTGACATAATTTTATCCATGAAAAAGTTGTGGAGGTTAAATTATTGAGTGAAGGCCAACTGATTGAGAGTTGATAAACTTTTTTTCTTTCTAAGAGTACTGGTGATGTCCTGAAAAGTGTTGACTGAACAAGTGAAAGCACATATCATCATCACAGGACTCATGAAACTGTTTTATATTGGTACTGGAATGTTCTAGTAATTTGTTATGGCAAAATGAAAGGGTTGTTCTGACAAATCATCTAAAATTGAACATGATATAGTTTCTTTCTTGGTGTTCACGTCTGCTCCTCAATTCTTTTGCTAAGTGATTTATGCACATTTACCCAGAACATAATTATCTTGATTAATAATGAGAAATATGGTATTTATAATCCAATGGTTAACAAAGTGCTACATGATTAGCCCTTTAAAAATAATTAGCCTTCTTGCATATAAAATTCCATAATTTCATTTCAGATTATGAAGTACCAACCAGTATTCTCAAAATTTTAATCATCCATATATAATGGATTCATTGGAAGTACTTGTGAGAGGAGTATTCTAGCTCTGACACTATAAATCATGAGAAGTTAAACCACATTTTAGTTTTTTGCATCAGTCACATATTTTTCTGGTCTTCTGCTTTATGCATTTAGTTGTTAGCTGCATAGAATTTAATCACAGGAAATATTTAGAGAAACAAAGTTACTAAAAATGAGAAAAAATTTAAATATGCTGTTCTGGCAGCATTTATTGATTTGGCTCTGTTTTCACCTAAGACTGAAAATCATATCTGGGATTAAGACAGGAGCTTCCTCTTCACTCCCACAGGAAACAAAAATTAAACATTTTATGTCATTGATACTTTTACAACTTTTAATGAGATATTTGTCAGAGGGTGTTTTTCCTTCCTGGTAGAATTTGGACCAGATCTGTTATTTTCCTGAAAAGGCAAAATCAAATTCCTGAATGTCTTTAAATGATATGAGTAGTAACTGATAAACTTTTTTTTAAATGTCACTTAGGAAGGACCTAGGGTTGAATACATTAAAGTGTCCAATACTGAGATGATACAGATGTTAGAGTTATCTGACAAGGCTTTAAAGCTGCCATCAGAAAGGTAGTGCTTCAACAAACAACCCCAAACATGCTTGAAACAAACAGTGTAAGAAGAGAAATGAAAGATACAAAGAACACAGAAATGAAATTTCTAAACTAAAACATACAACAGCAGATTCAATGAACTTGATGATAGAACTCTAGAAATAATCTAATCCAAAAAGAGAAAAAGGAATGAAAAACAAATAGAGCTTTAGGTATACATGGGACTGTAACCCAAAGATCTAACATTGGATCACTATAATCATAGAAAGAAAATAGAAAGAAAGTGGGGCTAAAAAAGTATTTGAGGAAATAATGGTTAAAAACTTCCCAGTTTGGGAAAACACATAAACCTATAGATTAGAGGAACTGAGCAAATCCCAAGCAGGATAAACCCAAATATATCCATGTGAGGATACATAACAGTTTAAATTCATAAAACTAAGGACACAGTCATGAAAGCAGTTGGCGTGAAGAGATGAACCAAAGACACTGATTTCTGGCATTAGGTAGGAATAGGCTGGTTATCACGAACTGGAAAACAGAAATAGAAGTATTGGCAAGAAATTTATATTTTTTGTTGATTTCAACTATTAGTCTTTTACCCTTTTAACTGAAGCCAACTTAATTAATATACATAGAGCATTTTCTGGGTATCTACAAGTTGTGCTGGATACCTAGGGCACACCTGTCAATCCCACTGAGTCACAGCAGGTGTTACCTTTCAAAACAATTCAAGGAATTCTAGATTTGGAAAGAATCTTCACACACACACACACACACACACACACACAAATACAAATTTTTAACCTGAGAATGAACTTCAGCTGTGAACTTCCTTAAATTAATCTAAAAATGTCAATATGCATAGGCATTTGTTTCTAGGGAAAAGTGCAATAGTTTTCATAGATTCTTAAAAGTAGTTGGTGGCTTAAAAAAGGTTAGAAGCCCCCATAAGCGTTTCTGTTTTCTCAAGTTAAATCATATACTCCACGTTGGATGAGAAGTCATTCTAATTTTAATCTAATTCTTCAAAATTGCTGCATGCAGCCTCAGGAGAATGCTCTGCTTTTAAGGGGTGAACAGGAAAATAGTTTTCTAACCCTCCTAGGCACTTTTGGAAACACAGATTCTCTAAAGAAGGTTTTGCCTGAAGACTTATTTTATACATTTTTAAAAATAGTATCCAGTGGTGACTAAATGACTACTGCACTGTGACTTACAGTGAATGTTAGGTTAATTTTTCCTGTCCCAATGCGAATGTTCAGATTTGCAAGAAACAGCAGCCTTTCTAAATTAGTACCAATCCACTGGTTTGTAAGACATATGGTTTCCTTTTTTTTTTTTTTAAAGAACGATCAAGCTTTATTTATTACACAATGTGTAACTAACAATTTACCCAAATACAGAATGTTAATACTTTCTCTGGTGAAAAAACAAAAGTTATGACAAAACAGATCCATTCGGTTTCCATCTTTCTAATATGGGTGTCCCTCACTCCTTGTGCTTTCTACACAGTGTCTGATGCAAGCCGGATCAGCTTACATCTGGGGAAATGCACTGTCTACAAGACTTTAGGTTGTAGCTGCCCATTTTTCTGATGGAAATTGCAGCTCCTAATGTCACCTGGAGAGCTAAAGATTGGATAAGGCAGTTTAGGAAAAAGCTGAACACCTACTTCTAGTGAGACCTGAAAGTAGTTTGATTTACTGTTTTATGCTGGCTCCATCTTGCAAACCAAATTAATCCTGAAGCCCCTTGGTAAGTATGAGTTTCAGGCTGCATGCATAACTATTCAACCAGGAGGGGGATTTGACAGTCTCAAAGTGATCAGTGCGTGGATTGATTCTGTGCAAACTGAAGCAGTAATCTTAAACCTATAATAGCACACAAACTCTTAGGCTCCTGACACATATGCATATTGTAATACAATTGATGTAGGTGGCCCTACTTTCTGCACTTCTTAAAAAAATTTTAAGAATTTTCATATTTTGTGAAAGCCAGAAAGTGGGGGAGAGAGAGAGAAATCTTCTACTTGCTGGTTCAGGGCATGAGAAAGCCAGGAGCCTGGAACTTTATCTGGGTCTCCCATGTGCAAGACAGGGACCCAAGTCCCTAGCCATAATCTGTTGACTTCCAGGTAATATATAAGCAGGAAGCTGGAATGGGCATGGAAGAGCCAGGATCTGAACCAGGCACTGATGTGGAATGTGGGTAACACAAGTGGGGTCTTAACCTTATTGCCACAGGCCCGCCCAAAACTGAACTCTGCATTTCTGACAGGCTCCCAGATGCTGGTTTGAGGACACATTAAGTAGCTAGTTCAAAGAGGGAATGACTCATTTGGCTGGTGTGCAAATCAGTTTATAAGCCATTACATTTTCCTTCTCTCTATGGATTTTCTATCAATGGTCTCTCATACCTAGACGCTGCCCATTCTCATTTTTCAGAGTGTCCTTTTAGGTAGTGTGATCAGTTAAGGTAAGTTATTCTGATGGTCTTCACTTATGTAAAAGTATACAGAGATAAAAATAGGCCAAAATAAACAAAAATGAACACCACACATTAACTTATAATGGATTTATATTTAACACAGTATTTCTCACATAAAGATGTTACTCAGTTAACAATGTGTTTTTTACATTAAATCTCTTCTCCATTTTGATATTAACATGAAGTTTTTCTTAACATTAAATCTTTTCTCCATTTCAACATTAGACACATTGAGTAAATTTTTTTCTAAACTTTTTTTCCCCAGAGGTAAAAGTTAATTTTTGGCTATCTGATATCTCAGTACAATATTAACTTGGGAAATAAAACACAAATCTAATAAAGATATGGAGAAAAGACTCCTCAACTATTAGGAGGCAGTGATCATAACTAAACAATGGCAACTTTCTAGGATTCTGGTCAAGAGCTTCCTTCTTCTTGCTTCATGTGCTATGAAATACCATTTATGCAAATTTTTGCCATATTACTTCTTTGACTCCCTTTCCAACCAGCAAATACAAATTATAGGCTGGATTTTCTTTTTTTCAGTGCATTACTTGCTGTAAAGAAAAGTTTCTTCCACTCTTACATACATCAGTCTGGTTCCCATTTTAAGGGAAACAACTAAGAATGTGAAACTATTCTATTTACTGTTTCTTGGAACTTTCCGACACCAAAGCTCAGGCTTAACTGCAATAGCACAAAGATTTTCAGGGCGAGGTTTGATTCAGGAGGCCCTTCAAAGTCACATCTGTCCATTTCTCTTTCGTGCATACACCCCCAAGCAAGCACAAATGCCTGTTATGCTGAGAACCACTCCTAACAAGAGTGCGATTGCATCTCCAGCTTCTACTGCTTCAACAACAGGCAATACCAAAAGCAGTGAAATTAGGACTAAGAGCAACTGTGTTGAAACTGAGGTCATGATGTTGGGATCTTGAAGGCAGAAGGGTTCTAGAAATTAAATATGGAAACAAAAAAAAGGAACCATTAAAAATGTGTATCTTTTCAAATGACAATATGAACATATGACAAATAACAGTCTACCCAATCTTTTAAATTAGAGACTTTAGAAATCATTTCCTCCTATCCAGCTTCTCACTTCACAAAAACACTAAGGAAAGTGAAAAACACTTAAGACAATCATGTGAGACTACTCTCATAAAACCCTAACCCCAGCAGTTTTTCCCACACAAATGCCAACATCATGTGCATCAACCAGAAACTGAAGAGTAGTTCATAACTAAGAACAAGCAGGCAAACACAAAAGGCACAAAACATTCACGTGGAAACTTAAGATATCTTATTAGTTAGTAAAAATCAGATTTTCTTAAGGTCTCTCTCATATCCAGGAAATGCAGAAAGACCTCACAAAAGTCACACAAAATACAACTCTGATGTCGAGGGAAACTAATAAGACTTACCAAAGAAACGGTATATATATTTATTTAACTTGAAGTATTCCCTTCCTGGGGCTCCGGAGGCTGGGGCTAAGAGGTTCCACGGGAGAACGCCTGCTGGGGAGGAGTGGGAAACAAGGATTTAAAAATTACTTATTATTTTAAAGAGGAAGCTAGACTCAGTGCTCTAAAACAGTCTGGAGTAGAAGGGCGAGGAACACGTAATGAGTACCGAAAAGAGTTTGTCCAAGGAGGAACTATAGTTGGTTAGTTCTCCCACACAGCAAAAAGCTAACAAAAAACCGAACCGAGACAAGGTCATGCCGGCACTTGATAATAATATTGAAAAGGGATCCCTACTTCGGCACGGCGAAGTGGAAAGGCGCCCCCTTTTACAAATCACGGGGGCAGCCTAACTATCCCTTGGAGACGAGTTCGTACATTACCTTCCAGGAAGCAGCCATTACAGGAATGGCGAGGAGGGCGGAGTCTTCAAACTACATTTCCCACAATGCTCGCTGCCGACGACTCCCATGATGCACTGGCGCGCTCTCCAGTCACTGGCTCAGGGAGTGACGGTCACGCTCCCACGGAGACGTAGAGGAGTCCGCTCGCGGGGATTCCCCGCGCGGCGCTGCGTGTTACTGTGGAGTGGGTGGTTTACTGTACTTGTCCGAAGGCTCACGTAAAAATAAGTTAAAGAAGTGACAGCAAGTGTGTGCTGCCCTGTTCAGGGTTTTAACACGCACAAGTAACTGAAATGAAGACGTAGCAGCAGAGAGCAGAGCTATCTGAGGTGCCTTTAACCAGCGCCTTCCAGTATTGCTGAAGCGGGGAACCCCCGGGCACCATCTTTCAAGTGGGTTTTTTACGACTTTTTTTTTTTTAATTTTTTAACAAATGTTGGGGTTGAAGGGAAGGAAGCACGCCTAGTAAGACATAGTACAAAATAGACCGAGTTTAGGAAAAAATGGTTTAAACTCTTTAAGCAGAAAATGACTTACGACTCAGGTTCTGGAATTCAGTTTCTGTGTTCCAGTGGATTCAAGTGATTCCTTCCCATGCGTGTTTTTGTGAGACTCCTCGCACTACCCCAGTTGCCCCCAATTTGTGAAAAGAGTAGAATTGTTACTTTTAAAACAGAATAATTAATTATTTCCATATGTAAGTCTCTGCTAAAAGGCTCTCTTGAAGTCTTACCTCTGAAGTCCTTACTGATTCTTTCTAGTACAGTCTTCTGAACAGTGGTGTTTATTGATGTGACTCTTTATTTGGACTCTTCCATCACAAGTGGTTAATGACTCAGGTCAAAGGTGAATTCGCTCCCCTATCTGAATGGCTCCCTGATCAGTCTCTCCTGTTCCGCAGGTGTCTTCAATTCAGTGTCCATGATGAGCCTGTATTCGGCTGGTGTTGATCATTTCTTTTTCTAGTCTCTCTAGGATGGCAGGGAAGATTTATATTGCTGGCTCCTAACACACACAGCAGGACTCAGTGATAATAGCTAACAATAATCACAGTCTGCACTTTGTATTTGTGGGTTCCACATCCTCAGATTAACTGAAACTTTAATAGAAACTATGCAGGAAAGAATTGTGTCTGTACTGAACATGCACAGAGGTTTTTTTTTTTTTTTTTTTTTGCCATTGCTCCCTAAACAATAGAGTGGAACTATTTACATACCATCTACATTGTAGTAGGTATTACAGGGCAGGCATTTGGCATAGTGTTTAAGACACACCTTGGGGCACCTGCATCCCATGTGGAGTGCCAGGTTTCAAGTCCTGGCTATTCCCCCAATTCCAGCAGCTTGCTAATGTTCACCCTGAGAGGCAGCGGATGATGGCTCAAGTAGTTGGATCATTGCTACCCATGGAAGACCCTGACTGGGTTCCTGGCACCTGACTTTGGCCTGGCCAGCGCTGGCTTTTGTGACCTTTAAGGAAGTGAGCCAGAAGGTGGGAGATAGCTGTCTGTTTCTCTTTCTCCCCCCACCTCTTCTTGTTCTCTCTCTGCTTTTCAAATAACTAAAAATTGGAACATCCACATATTTTGATACCCATGAGCTGAGGGCAGAATTTTAAAACCAATCCCCTAGGCATACTGAAGAATGACTGTCTGATTAGATAAACATCCCAACAAGATGAGAGACCAACAGGTGGCAAATAAACCAAACCAAGGTGTATGGCAAATTGGAAGTCTGAGGATAACTATACAATTATCCTGTCAGTGTTGCTTCTCTAAACTTGATTATTCTGACAAGTGTTCGTTAATTGCCTCATTTGTCTTGAGCTACTTTTAGTTACACCTTTATAATAAATTACAGGTGCTGGCATTGTGGCATAGTGGGGTTTAACTGCTGCCTGCAACACCAGCATCCTGTATGGGCACCAGTTCATGTTTTGGCCTCTCCACTTCTGTTACAGCTCCTTGCTAATGCATCTGGCAAAGCAGTGGAGGATGGCCCAAGGGCTTGGACCCTGCACACATGTGGGAGACCTGGATGAAGCTCTTGGCTCTTGGCTTTGGCCTGGCCCAGCTCTGGCCATTGTGGCCATTTAGAGAGTGGACCAGTGAATGCAATATCTCTGTCTCTCCCTCTCTCTCTTTGTAACTATGCCTTTCAAATAAATGAAATTAATCTTTAAAAAAGTTTCTTTAAAATATAATTATTTATATTTGGGATAGAAACTATACATTTTTTATTGAGAGAGAGAGAGAGAATTAAAACATATACAAGAGAGAGCTGCAGTTCAGTTCCCAAATGCTCATTACAGTAAAGTCTGGGAAGTCAGAAGCTAGGAACTCAAATTCAGGTCCCCCACATGGGTGCAGGAACCCAACCACTTGAGCCATCACCTGCTGCTTCTCAGGGTCCATATTAGCAGCAATCTGGAGTCAGAAGCCAGACCAGATATGGAACCTGGGCACTCTGAGATGGATCATAGGCTCTTAATTGCTAGGCCAAATACCTGCCCCTAGGAACAACTTTTATGGCTTCCAGAATATTATCTTGTGGGGCCAGTGCAGTGGTGTAGCGGGTAAAGCCACCGCCTGCAGTGCCGGCATCCCATATGGATGCCGGTTGGAGTCCGGTTGTTCCACTTCCAATCCAGCTCTCTGCTATGGCCTGGGAAAGCAGTAGAAGATGGCCCAAGCCTTGGACCCCTGCACCTGCATGGGAGATGGCCATCCTCTGCTGCTTTGCCAGATGCATTAGCAAGGAGCTGTAACAGAAGTGGAGAGGCCAAAACATGAACTGGTGCCCATATAGGATGCTGGTGTTGCAGGTGGCAGTTAAACCCCACTATGCCACAATGCCAGCACCTGTAATGTATTATAAAGGTGTAACTAAAAGTAGCTCCTGGCTTCGGATGGGTGCAGCTCCGGCCGTTGCGGCTAGTTGGGGAGTGAACCATCTGATGGAAGACCTCTCTCTCTCTCCTTCTCTCCTCCTCTCTCTGTGTAACTCTTTCAAATAAATAAATAAAGCTTTTAAAAAATTATCTTGTACATGGGGTCTTCCAAATGTTCATGGAAAATGTATCTTATGAGAAAACAATGCATGGATTTTAAATCTTTTTTTTTTGCATCAATATAAATTAACCCTTTAGTTCCATTTTCCTATCAACTTTGTTTAACACCTTGTAATAGATTTATTTATTTATTTGAAAGAGAGAGAGAGAGAGAGAGATAAGAGGCACAGAGAGAAAGAAACACCCCCATCTGGCAACAGCTAGGAGTGGGCCAGGCTGAAAACAGAAACCTGGAACTCCACCCGAGTTTCTTATATTGGTGGCAGGGGCCCAGATACTTGGGCCATCTTCCTGTTGCTTTCCCAGGCACATTAGCAGGGAGCTGTATTAGAATTGAAGTCAGGACTGGATCCGCTGCTCCAATAGTACTGGCTTAACCTGCTGTATCACAATGCTAGTTCCACCTATGAACTATTTTAATTACCTTTGTTTTCTAGTGTGAACACTTTGGGGATTTTATTTTTCCCTGATGTTTATTTAAGTTATCTAAAGTAAGCAGACTTAAATTAGTGTTATTACAAACTTATTTTTGGGTGTGTCAATATTGAAGATAATGGTTTCATGTTAAGTTTGAAGGGTCTGTGAATGGTAAGATACTTTTTATTATATTAAGGGATCAATTAATTACTTGAACTTTCTAGAAAAGACTGGCAGTAGTTTGTGCAGGGTTGCTTTTGGACCAAGTAGTTTCAAAGGAAAAGTGGTAAAGTTTTCCCAGTCAGCATCCATCCCAATCAGGCACTTTAACAAAGGTAGGGCTCTATATGTTTTTGGGTGTCTCATTACAGGCCCAATTTTCAAGTCAGGTGATTTTCTGGTGTTAATTTTCTCTTCTTCCCATACTAACTAGTCATTTGAAAAAAGTCAAAGTGTTTACTCCTTTGCTCAAACCCCTCCAATTCTATCAACTAAGGCAGAAACCCAAGTTCTTTATTAAGACCCAGAAATCCTTACACAGTCTGGCCGCTTTTTCTCTGATCCTGTATTTCTTTACTCACCAATGCATGTTCCTTTCCAATCATGCCCACTTTTTTGCTGCTTTTTACATATGTTGATTTGGTTTTCCCCACTGGCTTTACCATTGTTGTTTATCTCTGCAGTTACTACTTTCCCCACAGATGTCTGCATGGTTGTTTTTCTTGATGCGATTCAGTACTCAGTTCAAACTTCACCTTTGTTCTTGAGCACTTCATAAAATAATTTCTCCCATTTCTCTATTCACTCTGCTGTCTTATTTTTGATTTGTACAGCCCAGCACTAACTGAAATATATTATGGAGGCAGGCGTTGTTTTTTAGTGGGTTAAGCTACTGCTTAAGTTGCCTGTGTTCCATATCAAGAGTGTCTGGTTTGAGTCCCAGCTATTTTGCACTCCTGATCCAGCTCCTGCTAAGGCACCAGAGAAGCAGGGGTGATGGCCCAAGCACCTGGGTTCCTGACAACCTTGTGGGAGTCCCAGATGAAGTTCCTGGCTCCTGGGTTTGATTTGTCCTTGCCCTGGCTGTTGCAGAGTGAATGAGTAGATAGAAGATATGTCTGTCTGTCTCTCCTTCCTTTTCTGTTTCTCTCTGGTTCTCCCTGTAACCCTGATTCTCAAGAAAACAAGCAAATAAATCTGAAAGATATATGTATGCATTTAAAAATATTTAATAGGTAAACAAATACACCAAAGTGAAAATTCCATGAGAATCCAGAAGTGTTCCTGTCATGTTCACTTTAGAGTTCTCAGCTACTGAAACAGCACCTAACGTGATAGATACTTAGAAGGTATTTTGTGAATGAATGAATGAAAAAGGTTATTTTAAGACTGGAATTTGTTTCATGTTTAGTCGCTGGTACACTGTTCATAGTAGAAACTAGAAGTAGGAAGTCTGTCTTTGCATTAAATTATGAAGATACTTGGAGAGGTTATTTTGAATTTTCATCCGAACTTGGGTTTCATTTTTTTCTATGACATTATTAATAAGATTTACTTATATATAAAATGCAGTAGTATTTAAATCAGGAATTTGCTTGGTTCCTTTTACTTCCTTTGCCCAGTTAAGGCACTGGGATCTTTTTTTTTTAACTTTTATTTAATGAATATAAATTTCCAAAGTACAGTTTGTGGATTACAATGGCTTTTTCCCCTCCATAACTTCCCTCCCACCCACAACCCTCCCCTCTCCCACTCCCTCTCCCCTTCCATTTACATCAAGATTCATTTTCAATTATTTTTATATACAGAAGATCAATTTAGCATATATTAAGTAAAGCTTTCAACAGTTTGCTCCCACACAGAAACATGAAGTGTAAAATTGTGTTTGAGTACTAGTTATAGCATTAAATCACAATGTACAGCACATTTATGACAGAGATCCTACATGAGGAGTAAGTGCACAGTGACTCTTGTTGTTGACTTAACAAATGGACACTCTTGTTTATGGCATCAGTAATCACCCTAGGCTCTTGTCATGAGTTGCCAAGGCTATGGAGGCCTTTTGAGTTTGCTGACTCTGACTATATTTAGACAAGGTCATCGTCAAAGTGGAAGTTCTCTTCTCCCTTCAGAGAAAGGTACCTCCTTCTTTGATGGCCTGTTCTTTCCACTGGGATATAACTCACAGAGGTGTGGTTTGTTGTTGTTGTTGTTTTTTTTTTTTTTTTTTTTTTTTTTTCCAGAGTGTCTTGGCTTTCCATGCTTGAAATACTCTCATGGGCTCTTCAGTCGGATCCAAATGCCTTAAGGGCTGATTCTGAGGCCAGAGTGCTATTTAGGACATCTGCCATTCTATGAGTCTGCTGTGTATCCTTCTTCCCATGTTGAATATTTCTCTCCATTCTTTATTCTATCAGTTAGTATTAGCAGACACTAGTCTTGTTTATGTGATCCCTTTGACCGTTAGACCTATCATTATGATCAATTGTGAACTGAAACTGATCACTTGGACTTGTGAGATGGCATTGGCACATGCCACCTTGATGGTACTGAATTGGAATCCCCTGGCACATTTCTAACTCTACCATTTGGGGCAAGTCCGATTGAGCATGTCCCGAATTGCACATCTCCTCCCTCTCTTATTCCTACTCTTATATTTAACAGGGATCACTTTTCAGTTAAGTTTCAACACTTAAGAATAATTGTGTATTAATTACTGAGTTCAACCAATAGTATTAAGTAGAACAAAAAAATACTAAAAGGGATAAAGTATTAAGTTGTTCATCAACAGTCAGGGCAAGGGCTGATCAAGTCACCATTTCTCATAGTGTCCATTTCACTTCAACAGGTTTCCTTTTTTGTAGTTGGTTAGTTGTCACCAATCAGGGAGAACATATTATATTTGTCCCTTTGTGACTGGTTTATTTCACTCAGCATGATGTGTTCCAGATTCCTCCATTTTATTGCAAATGACTGGGTTTCGTTGTTTTTTTTTTTTTTTTTTTTTGCTGCTGTATAGTATTCTATAGAGTACATATCCCATAATTTCTTTATCCAGTCTACTGTTGATGGGCATTTAGGTTGATTCCAGGTCTTAGCTATTGTGAATTGATCTGCAATAAACATTAGGTTGCAGACCGCTTTTTTGTTTGCCAATTTAATTTCCTTTGGGTAAATTCCAAGGAGTGGGATGGCCGGGTCGAATGGTAGGGTTATATTCAGGTTTCTGAGGAATCTCCAGACTGAATTCCATAGGGGCTTTACCAGTTTGCATTCCCACCAACAGTGGGTTAGTGTCCCTTTTTCCCCACATCCTCGCCAGCATCTGCTGTTGGTAGATTTCTGTATGGATTTGACAGGTAGAGTTAGAGAGAGAGAGAGAGAAAGGTCTTCTTCCATTGGTTCACCCCGCAAATAGCTGCTACGGCCAGAACTACATCAATCCGAAGCCAGGAGCCAGGTGCTTCCTCCTGGTCTCCCATGTGGGTGTAGGGGCCCAAGCACTTGGGCTATCCTCCACTGCCTTCCCAGGCCACAGCTGAGAGCTGGAATGGAAGAGGGGCGGCCAGGACTAGAACCGGTGCCCATATGGGATGCTGGCGCCGCAGGCAGAAGATTAACCAAGTTAGCCATGGCGCCAGCCCCGACACTGGGATCTTGAATACAAATGTTGATTGAATCCACCTGGATCATTATTTTAAGACTTAGGGTTATACAATCCAAAATTTAGTCTTTTAATTCCAGAAAACACAAACTGATATCATCCTTCACTAAAATAGAGATATTTCACACATTAAAATAGAGATTGCTGGTAGCCAGTGATACTAGGAGAAAACGAACAAAGCTTTAGTCACTTATTTGATCAGTGGAGGGAAAATTTCTTTCTTTTTTTCTTTCTTTTTTTTTTTTTTTTTTTTTTTTTGACAGGCAGAGTGGATAGTGAGAGAGAGAGACAGAAAGAAAGGTCTTCCTATTGCCATTGGTTCACCCTCCAATGGCCGCCACGGCTGGCGTGCTGCGGCCGGCGCACTGCGCTTATCTGAAGGCAGGAGCCAGGTGCTTCTCCTGGTCTCCCATGGGGTGCAGGGTCCAAGCACTTGGGCCATCCTCCACTGCCTTCCCGGGCCACAGCAGAGAGCTGGCCTGGAAGAGGGGCAACCAAGAAAGAATCTGGCGCCCGACTGGGACTAGAACCCGGTGTGCCAGCACCGCTAGGTGGAGGATTAGCCTATTGAGCCGTGGCGCCGGCCGAGGGAAAATTTCTTAAGTCAGTTATTATCAATTGATGGTTTCAAAGAAGAGAGGAGAAGTAGCTTCTGCTCACTTTAGAACTCTTAGTAGTAAGTCATTGCTAGACCCTCAAGGAAAGGACATCTGGGATCTAGGACAAAGGGGCAAGATAGGTCCCTGTCAGGATTTTGCTGTGACTGATATGTGTAAGGGAGTTCATAAAACGCAGACTTCCTCATTAACAACAGAGCCAAGCCAAATGATTGGAAACGTTTTATTGGAGTTCCGCAGTTAAAAACAACAAACCCGAAGTGAGTCCGTATTTACCAACAATAGTAGGGCATTTGTCATAGAGAACATTATGTTAGGGCTAACTACTCATTAGGCTAACAGAGCTATTCAGCTGCTGCTCCTGCTGCAAAAATAAGCCCCAAAATAAACAAAACACCTGCTGAGGCTAAATACCTCTTGTGCTAGAATTAACATTCTAAAAGGTTAATGGAAGCTACATTTTTGTTCTGGTTTCAGGCATCATCTAGAACCCAATGAAGATGTCCTGGCTGTCACCAATAAACCTCAGTTATTGGTAAGAATATTACACACATAATATGTCTAGGAATCCCACTCAGAGGCCCAAAAGATCCGATTTTCACTTACATTACTGGGATTATGGGAATGCGTTAAGAATGCCTGTATGGGACAAATGTGTACTTTTGAAAAGTTGTGAGATTCTCTCTGTATTTTGTTATACTTTAATAATGATAATGGACTGATTATGACTTTAGCGATCAATGGTTGGTTCTAAATTCACCTGTCCCACTTATTAACTGTGAACTGTGCATATCATCTGACTTTTTGAAACTTGAGTGTTCTCATCTGTAATCAGGAAAGTATCAATCTTCACAGATTGCCAATGTGAATTAAATAAGGTGGCATAGTATATGTATAATTTTACTAAGGGCTATTATTATTAGCAACAAACTAGACTTTTCAAATATAGTGTACAAGGAAATTTAAATTTTGAAATAGCTTACCTTATGGGGAGATGGAAAGAAAGATTTTCTTAGAAAACATGGTTTCTTACCACATGTAGTAAGATTCATTAATTGACATGTATATATACAAACAGTTAAAATTGTAACTAATATGTACTAGGAGATATTTCACACATTAACAAATTTGCTCTTTAGAATTATCCTATGAAGTGGATCCTATTGGTATCCTCCATTTCAGATTAGAAAATTGAGGCATGGTGAAGTAATTTATATAGATCAAATAACTAGGGAGTGATAGGGTATGAGTCCAAGAAATCTGTCCTTGTCAAAAGCAATTACATGGAAAATCAAACATCATTTTAAATTTCTTTGAATTAAGATGCTTTATTGTCAAACATGAAGACTAATCATGGTGACTTGTTAAGGAATTCTTGGTGTTTGAGGCCCTAGTTTGGTCAACAAGTGAATGCCAGTATTCACCTAATTTATCAATTTACTTGGGTTTAATAAATATGTATAAAAAGTGATTTTAGGAAATTAAAGTATATCTGACTGAAGCTCAGAAGTACATTTAATGGTGGGTACAGATGTTAATGTCAAAAAACCTAGATTGTAATATGTTGGCAGATCTCAGCTATCATAAAATCACTGAAATTTACATAATAGACAAAATTCAAAAAAGAATATCCAAAGGAGTCTTTCAAAATCTTTTCTAGAGGTTAAGAGGTTAAATCAATCACTGCAAAAATGTCGGGGGTTGTTAGCAATTTTGCATGTGCAGTTCACACGGAAATACTAATTCCTCAGTATAGACCAGGTGCTCATTATGATTAAGAGCTGGTAACCATGGAGACAGACAGCATGAAATTTATAAAATTAAAAACATAGCAGATAGGAAATGCAAATAGCATAGAAGAGTGAATCATACCCCAACTGGTTTTAGCTCCATTTCTCTTGAATTTAAAGATATTTGAAATTTATTTCTGGCCATTTTCTGAGCAAAATCACTCATTTTTGAGACTCTGAATTTCCACTTTGTACATCTTACTTCTTCATCTGATACTGCCTTTTATCTAGTTTCAAGTTAGACAAGTTGGAATGTGATTAGGGCTACAATTTTTATAGGTAAGCAATATCTGAAAAGTGGTTAGTTTTAATTGATCATGGACACTTGGATGATTACCTGAACCTTTTATAGAGACGTTTATTGTGAATTTTCAGTGGACATACTGTAAGTGATTGGTCACTTTTAGTTTCTGAATTTATTTCTTTTGCTGAATCATATAGGTAGGTGAGGTAGAAAACTTTATGGCATAAATTTCAGTTTCTGTGTCATGGAATGGTTTATTTATATAATGGTGAGCTGGAGGGCAGCAATAAAGTTTCTTTACTCTTGTCCCTTAATACTTTGATTGTCCATAAATCTGTTCTCTGAACCCATTATTGCAGCTGAGTACCTGTCTGTTGATCTTCTGAAAATGGTACTTATTGAGTTTAAAATCTTCATGAGTAAAAAAAAATGAATTATGACAAAAAGATTTTACTTTCTAGAAGAATAATTTTACTTAAGGGGGCTTTCATGTTTTTCATTTAAAGGAAAAATTTAAAATTATTGCATATGGTTCAATTGAGAAAAACATCCTGTATAATACTATTCACTGTTTAATTTGATTGCAATTTGGTCCCATTTTAGGGTATTTTAAGTTCTCATTTCTCAGGAGAGTCAAAATAAGTACTTGAACTCAGGCTGACAGAGAGAAGCAATACTTTTGTTAGCTTGCATGTCAACACTATTGAATACATGAAAGTTAATGTGGTGTGTTGTATAAGAACGGGAGCATAATACCTTTATCTACTCTATTTCAGTAAGACCTTTAATGTAATCCCTAATTATTGTCACCAAGTTTTCGAAAGGATCAATGGAGAGCATTGAGGACCCAAGGAAGAGTGACAGAGTTGATTCAAGTTATTCAGAATAATCTTCAAAGATGGTTCTGGAAAGTGTGTCTGTGGTTCACTTGCTTCCCACTTTCAGGAGGGTTTATTTACAAATGCAAAACCCTCAAACAAGTTCTTCAGGTCATTCTTTGGTTCATCTGATCTTAGAACTTTTATCATTGGGGGAAGATGACTTGGTCTGATTATTTGGGAAGAGGAGATGGGAGTAATTAAGTAATTGTCTAAATTAGTTAACAACAGCATTTAATGAGACTCAGTTGAATTATTCCTTTTCCTTTTATGGATTAGTTATTGGTGAATTTAAATATTTCTTGCTATTTTTATACATATAAAATGGCATTCTCCCTCATTATTTATTATAACCTTAATTTTTGTCTTTATACTTAATTTTAAAAAAGGTTTATTTATTTATTTGTAAGGCGGAGTGACAGAGTAAGAGAGAGAGATATATATTCCATTGACTGGCTCACTTTACAAATGGCTGCAACGGACAGCCTTGGGCCAGGCAGAAGCCAGGAGCCAGGAATGCCATCCTGGCCTCCCACAGGAGTGATAGGGGCCCAAGTACCTGGGCCATTTTCTGCCACCTTCCCAGGCAATTAGCTGGAAGCTGGGTTGAAAGTAGTAGCCAGGGCTTGAACTTGCACTACATTGTGGAATGTTGGCATTGCAAGTGGTGGCTTAACCTGCTGTGCTACAACACCAGCCTCCAAACTTAATTTTTAAATGTATAAAACTATTATAATATTTCCATCATTAGAAATGTAGAAACATCTGATTCCCCAGGGAAAACAAAGCCTTCTAGCACGAAAAGGGACTCTAAATAATGAAATGGACAATATCCTCAGTTATAAAAAATAACAATGCAATCATGAATTTTGTATGGTTGACAAAATATGCCAGAAAGTAGGATAAAGTGTTAAATGCAATTTAATAAAAGTGATCAAAAAGGCATTGTGTTGTGGGTCCCCAATATATACCATCCTGCCTTCAACATTAACCAAGGATTGGATCTGTAAGGCCTTGGACCTATCTTTCCTAAACATTTTATTTGGAAGGAAACTAGATCACCTGGAGTGCTGGTATTCTAAATTGCTGGCAGAGGGCCCATCCATATGCTTGGGAACTGAAACCAGCAAGTATCTCTTAGATAGTAGATAGTTATTCTATTATGAAAATTGAGTTTCTCTAACAAGTGTTGTTGCCACAAAGCTATAGCTGGATAAAGCTGGGCTTGAGCCGAAGACTCTATATGTTTTTGGTATATCACACTGATTTCTCTTACTGTCCCTAATTTTATAATACCCATGTGGTGGTATTCCATGACTACTTATTGAGTAAATAAAAAAAAATTTACCTTGAGATTTTAGTTTATGTAAAGCTCAGTCTGAATCAACATGTGTGTCATAGCCACCAAAATAGTGAGTGTGATCTTGGGCTGCAGGAATTGATGTACAGTGTCTAGAATTGGGGAAGCTTTTCCAGTTATGCCAGCAGTATGTTTTTCTTTTATAGATTGCAAATTATTTTAGAAGAAGCATCAACAAACTGGATATTTACCAGTATTAGGTGTTAGAATCATTAATTGAGGAACATAGTTGAAAGACTGTGGGATGTAAAGGAGAAGACTGGATGAGACTATCTATTATTTTTTAAAAAAGATAAATTTATTTATTTGTAACGTGGAGCAACAAAGATAGATAGATGGCTGGATAGGTAGATTGATGTATGTGTGGATAGATAGATGGTAGACAGACAGATAGATATATAGGTAAAGATAGAGATATCTTTCATCTGCTGGTTCATTTCCCGTAACAGCCAGATCTGGGATAGGCTGAAGCTAGGACCCAAGAACTCCATCTACATCTCCCACATGGGTAGCAGGAACTCAAATACTTGGTACATCTTCTGCTGCCTTTCCAGGTGCCTTAGCAGCAAGCTGGAGGGAACATAGAGCTACTGGGACTTGAATCAGCTACTAATATGGGATGCTGGTGTTGGAAGTGGCAGCTTACGTACTGCACCATAAAGCTGGCCTCCATCTGTTGTTTTCAATGATTTATCCCATAATAGAGGCCCTAAAAGAAAGAGAACCAGCCTTGTTCTAGATAGCCAGTGTGTTAAAATAACTGGCATGCTTTAGCTCTGTATAAGAAGATTCTAATATTTCATAAGGGAATTGGCTGCCTGCTTTAGCAGTGAACTCTTGATCCAACAGAAGGTTGAGTTAATCAACATTTGGCTGGGATATTGCAGGAAGGATTCAGACTTCAAAAGGATGGTTGGACTAGATGTCCACAAAGGTTCCTTTTGAATCTGACATTCTGATTCTCTTCTCTTCCACCCAGCCACCCCAAATCTGATGTTATTTGTCTGATACTGCTTGTAAGGGCTTGTTTTGAGAGTCTCTAAGACCCTGTTATTTATCTTTCCAAGTTCTTTATTCTTAGTATTTAAGAATGTCTATTTTTGCTTCAAGCTGAGTGGGAAAAATGGATTTTTCTCTATTTCTGAAAATTTACTAATATTTTGTTAGTATTTACAAATATAGATACCCATATGTAAGTATATGACATTGTTAATACTGTTGCTCATATGTTACTATTAGCCTATGTCATTGATACTATTTTAA